CAGTTTGAACGCTCCGTAGTGATTAATAACTTCAGGTCAGTGCTCAGATGTTAATAAAAGGTAACCGTGTGGTGTATGGGACACATTAAAGCAACAAAACTTGATGTGAATTGACAGAAATACATGTTGGGCAAGATAAATTAAACAATTCTGCTTTGGAAAAGGAAAGAATAAGAATAAGGAAGTGTTAGGATATAGGTTGTAGTCCTCCTCCTTGGCTGTTAGAAGCGATAAGCACTCCAGCGACTGTATTCACAAACAATACTCTAATTGTGCGGTGAATGGGGCAGATTCAAGCAAACAAAAACAGAGATGTCTGTCACTTAACACAAACACACAAACTAGAAATTCTGCTAACATATGTTGAGTTTGTGAGTTTATTCCTTTTTGATTTAAATTATTTTTTTAATTCACTCCTATTTTGTAGATTAAGTAAGTATCATTACACAGTACCCATTCATATTGCATGCATCTGCTGATATTGTTGCATCCAGAGTTAGAGTATCTTCGTATGGACACTGGCTAAAATATTTAGCCCACTTTATATCAATTATATTTTCTGTTTGTTTCATTATGTTTACAGTTGTGGGGTTTATTTACTGTCATGTTAGAACAGTAAAGCTCTAAAGTGAGGGGCTAGGTTAATGACTATCAGTGTGGTAGCAACATAGGAGAGTGCAGAGCTCGCTGAGAGTGGGTAATCACTCACCGAGACAAGAGTGATAAATAATGATTATATTTAAATATCAGTAATTACAGTATTTAATGCGAGATGCTTAGCTGGTGCCATAAACTCAGCTCCTGGTCCCACAGGAAAGACAGGATTACGCAGCATTATACTAAAAGCAAGGTACACTGATAGGTGTTCAAATATAATTATATTCAAAATTCATTTTAAGACAGAAGTGATCACGCCTAAAGGATGTGCCCAGTATCATGATGTGGGCAAAAAAAGTCTTAGAACTGACTTAAGCTGCTGCCTATCCCACGTGGTGAGATGAGACTTGAAAGTTCACAATCCCTCCCGACAAATCCTAACAAGAACTAGCTAACTTCCCAGAATTCAATAAATGATGTAGCTTTCTTAAATACATGAACAAATCATACTGTAACTGCGATAATAGATAACAAAGCTAATGTCTCAACCTGTGGATCGACTCAGACTCCACCAGCCTAAAGAGTAGTTTTTACCTGTAATGCTTCATTTGCTCAGTTTAGGGGCACCTGAACCAGCACTCCACCTGCTCCAGGTTCTGGTTAGAGAGACCTTCCAGCTCACAACAGGTCTTCAAAGAAGAGCAAGGACTACTATCTCCAGCTGTCGTTCCAGACGATGGAGCTGGAGTCTGTCGAACCACAGGCCAAGTCTCACAATAGTGAGTAGTTTACTGATGCAGACCAGAATTTTAGCATATATATGTAAGATGTAGCTGTACATCCAGCATTTTGTGTATTTTACACCACAGTGAAAGTAATCAATGATTTCTAACAAAGTTCTTGGTTTCAGGATTACTTTATTCTGTAATGTCTACAAATATAATGCATTTAAAATGCATTTCATGGTGTGATCATTTGATTATCACTTCTACACCTCTGAAAGACCGTTACAATCTTAAAGCATTAAAAAAGGCTCCTCGGGAGTTCTGCCAACTTTTCCCGTTTTTAAAAACATCCAGATAAAACTCAAAACCTCTGAAAAAGACTGTGGATTCCACATGGAGGGGAAACTCCATTATCAGCTGAGCTGATCGATTATTCATGGAGGGGTCTGCGTAGCTGCTGCCCGATCGCATGTGGAAGGACCCTGCTGATTGTGCATCACTCCCAAAACAAAGCATCGATTGGTCTGGCACGTGTAAGCACGGTCAAGCCAACAGCTCCATTGTCCGTGAAACAAAATAAAAAAAGCCAGAGAGGCATGGGGAGCAGGGGGTAACCCCCCACTCTTTGTGCAAGGCAGCTGAGCATGCATGCGACGATTGCAGAGCATCGTCATCATAGTGCATCCTAAAGACACCTCCATGGTGTTTGAAGAATCCCCCCCTTAACACAGCCTCCTCATTTTTGTGTTTCCCAGTGTGCATCGCCTAGCAACAGAGTGAGTTGTAGGGCTTGTAAAGGCTTGCCAGGAAGGAGACCGCTCATCTCTCCGTGCCTGCTCCTGCCTCCTTAAAGTCCAGATTACAGTGTTTTAGCTCCCACCGACTCTCTCCTGCACGTTTCCGAGCGCGTCTGAGCGACGTGGCAGAAAAACAGCAGCACCCCTCAAACTTTTGGCACGTTTTGTTTGCGCTCCTGTTCCAAAATAAACTCAGCGGAGTGGGCAGGGAGGGAGCCGGCGTGGAGGCTGAACTTGTTACTCCGAGCCTCACAGGGAGTCAGTTTACGGCGCTGCTGTCAGTTTCAGTGTCAAGTTCAATCCCCTCACTAAACGTTTCCTGATGTGAAACTATTCGAGTTGCTAGGTGTTCACGCCACTACGACAACTGTAGCTAGGTAACGCTCGGAGACCACCGGTTGTACAGTTAGCTACTTGTGGAGGCTAGCTCTTCTTAGCCAAGTTAGCTTTGGTGTAGCCAAATTAGCACCAGCTACTGGATAACACATGAGTGCAATGAGACGGCGAATACTTACTTTTATGTCTGCCCGCACCCCAGGACTGTTTGGCGATGCTGGGGCTCCGTATAATTGCCCTTCCGGCGGATTTCAAAGCGTCCATATCGTAATCCAAAAGTGGGGCAAAGAGCCCGACGAGCGCCTGTGTGTGCGTGTCGAAACACTCCGCTCGGTTTAAAACAAACCTCTGTCGTTCAAACTTTGTTTCAGCTGTTCTTCTCTCCCCTCCTTCGTACGACTAGCTCTCAGCCGACGGTAAATTACCATGTTCGTCCCCCTGGGCGGTGTTAGTATGTAAATTAACCGGATAAGGTGCGTGACGCCCGCTTGTGGAGTCACGCGAGTGGGTGAGGTAGTAACAGCAGCCGCGGCGGCGCTGGCAGCCCGGACGGGCGGTGCTAGTGTTATTCCTGTTAATAGCGCCCTCTAAGACCCGGCCTACAGTTTCTACTGTCCCCCCGCGTCTTCTGCGATGACTGACGTGATCCTCCGATCGCCGGCTGCTCATAAGGGGGTTCAAAAATATGGTTAGGGGGCCAGAAGCGGCCGTCAAAGGCACCCAAGCCGGCCCACGAGTCCTCTTTAGAAAATGTGCAACTGTAACAGGGTCATAAATCACATATAATTACCCAAAATGTGTTCTAAACCCCCAAACCGTTCCTTTTATACCTGACTTTTAGGACCTCCAAGCCTGTAGTTATGTTCATTATCAGTTAGAGCCCCTCCTC